TGCCCATCTTGTGATCCCCTCCTCATGAAGGTTGGCTGAAGTTGAACACAGATGGATCCTCCTCAATTGAGTGTACGATAAGAGCCACTTGTGGTGGTGTCATCAAAGACTGCTCTGGAAGATGGCTTATAAGATTCTTAAAATTCATAGAAATGGGCAATTCTCTTATGGCTAAATTATAGGGATTCTTGTTGGGCCTTGAGCTTGATTAGAATCGCGGGTTTATGAAGATATGGTTGGAAGGTGATTCATCTTCATCTATTCACCTAATCACTGATGGTTGCCAACAAAAACATCCTATGTTCTTCTTGGTAAATAGGATTGGTAATATTTTAGGGAGAGATTGGTGTGTTACAGTTACCTATATCCATAGGGAGGGGAATGTGGTATATAATAAGCCGCACCATTGAATTAAATAATTTGGAATTTTTATAATTAAGAGAGATTAATAAGATAAGAAATCTAATTATTCAACAAGTTGTTACCTGAGTGGGATTGAAATTCGACAAGTTGTTCCCAAAGTGGTAACGACATTCCCAGAGGGGGACGTCATAAAGTCTGTTTTGGGAGAAAAGAGCAAATAAGGAAAGATTTGGGGTAAAAATATAATCTTTCAAAAGTTACCTAGAACTTGAAAATAATCTAGTGAATAATTATTAAATCATTTTGGTGAATGTTAAAATCATGATTTCAAGATTAGATCATGGATTAAAATAGGATTTATTATGAAGGGCTAAGTGTGTAATTACTAAGAAGATATTTTAGTCAAAAAGTCAAATATGACCACTTATATTAAAGCATGCTTAAAACTTAAGCAACCTTCATTTCTCTTTATCTTTCTCATTGGAGAACAGCCTCAAAACCGTGAACTCCATTTGAGAGAAAGCTTGAAACCTAGTTTGAGTTCTAGTGGATGAAATCCAAAGTTTCAACACCAAAAATGCTTAGAATCATACTAAGAACAAACCAACCAACTAGTTTCCCTTGAGAGGCCTTGCAGAGGGAGATCTTCTCTTCCTAAAGCTTAGGAAAAATATTGAAGTTTTGGTGTTTGAAGAGGGTTTCAACCCTGTAAAGCTTGGAAAGTCTTTCTCCAAGCATTCTAGAGGAATTTGTGGTAAGAAATCTACACTTATTTCAAGTTTTCATGAAAATTTGACAAATCTAAATTCTTGATGAGTAGTAACTCATGAATAGTAATTTGGGGTCTTTGTGATGGGAATTTGACTTGAGTTATGCTGGAAAAAATGGTGAGGAGTTGATTTATATGATAAAAAAGTGTTGAAGTAACCATTCTAAACACCTTGGTTATTTTCAAAAATTAAGCCATGATAAAATGTTGAATACTTGTGGTTTAAGGCTTGGATTAGCTAATTAATGATAGATTATTGGTTGTTTGATGATATATTATGGAGCCAAGAGTCTTTCAAGTGGAAGATCAAATGGTGGATCAAGCAAAAGAGCATGACCTTGATTCTTAAGTGATTCAAGAATTAGAGTAAGTTACTAAATTAGGTTTCTTGTTGAAATGGTAATTAGTAGCTTAATGATTATAGTGTGATGTGTGTTATGATCATACTTGCACCTTGTGATAGGTGGTACTAGGGAGAAACTAGTATGAACCTTGTGTTGTGAACACTTGGATGGATTGCATGAGCTTGAAGCAAATTTTGTGTTGGAAGCTACTTGAGGTATACTTTCGGACCTTAAGATTTATCCCTTGATCCCCAGCTGAAACGACCAATCTCATCAAATCCTCCCCCAAGCAACGGGACTAGCAGACAACCGATATTGCTACCTCCAGACTTGTCCGCCAACAACCAACACCCCAACATACAGGCAATGTGCACCTTTGCGAAATATATCTCGCGATCATGATACCCAGCATGATCAGTCCACCGGGTATATAATTGATCTAAGATTGAGATGCGGAGGTCACCTGAATGATGGAACTCATTAGCCTGCGGAACCGCGCCAAAAACAGCAGCACAAACAGCGGGTCAATCCTCATTTGTAGATCTGGTGACGACAATACCGTCAGTAGGTAATCCCAATATGTCGGCCACATCCTTTAAGGTGATAGTCCTCTCACCTTGCGTCATGTGGAAAGTATGTGTCCCTGGTCTCCACCTCTCGACCAGAGCACTAATTAATGGGGCATCGATCTGAAATAAATTATACAATTATCATGTGTTAACGAATGGTATTGAATAGTTACATAAATATAAAACGCTGTAAATTGCATACCTGGATATGTCGCATCCGGACATCATGGATAAATCCAGCCTGTGTGAGGTAGTCTGTGACCACCTCTAGAATAGCCCCGGTAGGTGGCCACCCCTGTGGTTTTCCACGCCTGGTCTTCAGTCTCCTCACATGCTCCGTATTCCACACTCGTTGTGAAATATGGGCACGCTGCGTCCTCTTACGAAGGACGTCACATCTTTAAGGCCCAGGTATGATGTACATGCTAGGATCAGTAGGCTCTGCATCCGATGCAGAACCCGAAAATGATGATGAATCGACCATGACCCTAAACTATATAATACAAAACAACAATGAAATTAATCACATGTAACAACTCATTTTATGTACAAATTAATTAAGCAATGCCCTAATTTATTATCAAAAAAATTAAGCATAAACCCTACGTTTTTACTAGAATCGAAATTAATGAAATATTATTAATACGTAGTACAGTCATTTATTTGTAATTAAATAATAATAAAACATCGGACACAAATTAAATCATACTGACATAATACTTAACCCTAAGTCACTAATAACTTCATAAATATGTACTAATCATCACACCTAACTGACTACAAAATTATCAATACATTCCCGCATTAATGACATCATACAAAATTTACGAAGTCACTATCACTATTTTCTAAATCACTATCACAAAATAACATCATAAATATGTATTAATAATCATAACTACGTAACAAAAAAATTACTATATTATTACAACATTCATAGCATGGTACAAAATTTCTAAATGACTATCCTAATGTTCTAAGTTTCTAATATACGATAAATCCTAACATGTTCGTAAGGTAGCACTGTAATTTAAACGTATACATAGCAGGTCTTACGAATTTACCTAAGTTGGCAGAGCTTCTTTACGAAAATTTTCGCGTTCGGTCGGGAGCACAAACCATGGTTAGAGAGGTGAAATAGTGAGAAGTGAAATGGTAAAATAGGGGGTATATATAGGGCACACATGAGACGCCCCTTTTGGGCGTCACATGTGACGCCCCATTGGGGCGTCTTCCCTTAGGGTGAGACGTCTCAATGGGGCGTCACATTGTGCAATAAATGTGTAATTATTCCCAAAACTGTAATATATACGTAATTATTTAATTAAAAAATATTATTTTAATTTTTTTGCCTCTGCAATTTTGAAATTTATTTTTAAACAGTTTTTTATTTTTAAAAAAAAAATCTGTTTGACTAGGTCTATTTTATAATAATAGTTCTAAAAATTATAACTATTTTTTAATTTTTAGAATCAAATTTAAAGAATATTATTTTTATTTTATGTTTTTACTTTTAACTTTCAAAATAAAATAAAAAATACCTATTTCATTAATTATTCAACAATATAATTTTGAGAATAAGCCCTTAAATTCGACATTCCACCACCTGACTCTCAAATTGGCTAAAAATTAAGACACTCAACTTTTTTTATTCTTATTCTTTTATTTTTTTAATTATACTTTAAAAAAAATGCTGGTATCTCACTTATGACTTAACCCACAATCTACAAAGTAAATATTGCATGTTTGTTTGACGTAATGGTCCTGTTAGTGTTACAGTCTTGCATTCTGTATGTTTTTTTTTTCCTTCCCCTGCAGTGTCCATTTTTACTTTTCACGACAATGTTAGCAAGGCTTATAAACATTTCAGTCTTCCCTCTTATAGTCAGAAGCCTTTGCTTTTCTCCCGTAGACCAGAAAGCAACTGTTTTCGCTTTCCGATGATGTAACGTTCTACTTGGTTAGTGATTTTAATAAAAGGACAATATATTGCCATGAGGAACTTCTTGACATGAGTTCCACATTTGGATTCAATAGGAAGATACAAAACCCAAATTCTTACATATAAAGCTAAGACTTTCTTCCTCTAAATCTTACTCAGCCCAGATGTAGCAATGATTTTCCATTATAAATAAACAGATTCTAAAATGAACCCATTGGCACTTCAAAGTATGCCATTTTATCTCAAAAAAAAAAAAAAAGAGTATGCCATTTAACAAATTATTATTGCCATAAGCCATGAGGTAAAAAGTAAAAGATCCTACCCTTATCCACCCTTTATCTAACCTATCGAAATTTTCTGAAAATCGAAGCGTTCACCTTATTCAAATAAAGTGCTGATGTGATCCTATATTTTGGAAAAACAAGTTTTCAGATATATTCCGTGGTAAAACGTGGAAATTACATAGCCATAAAACAATTGAGACTAAACTTTGGTAGCATTATAAAACGAACATGAACAGTTCGGCAATCATATTCAAATCTAATCTACACCCTGGTTTTAGATTTAGTTCATTTTAGCTGCTTCTTTTTTTTTGGGGTGGGGGGGGCGCAAGCAGTTCATTATAACTTTGACACCCCGCAAAACATGCCAAGTAAAGCAAAAATGCATGCAGCATTATCCAGGAAGTCATCAACAGATCATTTACACAAGACAGAAACAAGCTCCGGCTCCAGATGAATTCCAAATATGTGCAGATAATTAACATGTAGTCCTGATAATCAATAACATCCTATCAAGTCTGAACAGCCAAATACTGAAGAACTAGGAAACGTTACAGGACAACAACGAGACCGATAAAATTCAATTTCCTTTTTCTAGCTCTATTGGATGTGCACCAATTCCCCATTTCAAAGTCTAATTATAACGACTTGTACCCTCGGTAAAGATAGATATACCTTAGAAACATACGCAAGAATCACTTAGAAACACAGAACCACTACTCAATTCATAGAAGTAAAGATAGTTATAATTAGAGATAACATGAATTCGAGTGTCATCAATGCATTGAATTGAAAGGTGAAATTTTAAAAAAAATTCCAAGAATCTCTTCTTAGAAGGAACAAGCAGAATATCACTATATTCACATCACTACTGAAAACCTAACTAAAGCTAGAAAGCACATTAATCAAACCCTGTTTGAAACTAAAAACAGAGAGGGAAAAAAAAAACTAAATTTGGTAGTGGACCATGAAAAAAATCTAGCGACATTTAAGAGTCATCGTCAGCACCAGCGCCCTTCGAAGAGGTTCCAGCCTTCTTAGGGAGTAACAGATTGTGGATATTAGGCATCACACCGCCATTGGCAATGGTTACATCTCCAAGAAGCTTGCTCAATTCTTCGTCATTCCTAACCGCCAATTGTATATGGCGAGGCACAATTCGAGTCTTCTTGTTATCCCTCGCAGCGTTTCCGGCCAACTCCAGAACCTGAACACACCAGATTCGTCACAATTAGTAGGGAAAATTCATCTTTCAGAAAACAATTTGTTCACTGAATTCGATCATTATTGTTCGAAGACAGGTTTATTCGCTATAATTGGTAAATCACACCAAATCTCAAAACCCTAGATCTAGCGACCAACACGAAGAGAGAATTGAACGCGAAACGAGAGTGGTCAAGGGAAGTTACCTCCGCGGCGAGATATTCAAGGACGGCGGCGAGGTATACGGGGGCTCCAGCGCCGACGCGCTCGGCGTATTTTCCAGCCTTGAGGAACCGAGCAATACGACCGACGGGGAATTGGAGGCCGGCTTTGCTGCTCCGTGAGGTTGCCTTTTTGGCGGCGCCAGATCCTAGGGTTTTGCCTCGACCAGCCATTGATGAACTATCACCGGTTTGAAGGATCGTTAAGGTTCTGAGAGTTGAAGATGAAAAGAGAATTGCCGGCGACTAAAGAGAACGAAGAAGGGAAATATGTGAAAAATTTAGCGTTGCGATATTAATATAGTAGGATGGATAGTAATTGGGCCAATGAAATTGAACGACGCAGATCGATAATTATTGCCGTTGGATTATGTTTTGGATGGACGGTTTGGATGAGTCTGTGGTGGATTAAAGCTGCATCGAGCGCCGGAATTGACAAAGTACCAAGATCGTTTCCACAGTACGTCACGATCACGATGATTTTGATTGAATTTAAATTCGTAAACAACGAGTGTCTGAATTAATTTATTTCAAAGTTGAAATAAATTTCATAAATATTCGAGTATTGAACAATGGTGTCTATTAAAAGATTTAGTGATATTATATACGGAATAATGGATAGAGATAATTCGCAAGTGATAGTGCAATATATCTAGCCACCAGTTCCATGATGTAAACTAGCAAAATATTTAGGGAAAAGTGTTTATCTTTTTAAATTACACAACTTATATTCTTTTACTCTCACGAAGAGGTGGGATCCACATCTTTATTTTTTTTGTCAACTCTCTCTCCTTCTTTATCTATCTCTTTCTCTCTCTTAAAATGACACAACTTTACATCATTTAAAATGACACACACTTTACCCAAATATTTATGGTACATCCGTTTTACATTATATTTGGTGCGATGGACCAATAGAAATGGAACATTAATTGTGATATCTGTACCGAGAATAGAAAAAAATATATTTTTAGTCCAAATATCAATTTCTGAATGATAAATACAGATCCTACACATGTATAGAAAATGATCTCATAAACTAAGAGTGTGTGAACACTTCGAAAAATAGTGTATGTTTTGCATTTTGAAGATTAGTAGATGCTCGATATGCAAGTTGTCTTTTCACAATTTGCAAGTAGGCTAGGGTGGCAGTTGAGAGGATGTAAGGCAATCCAGAGCGAAAGTCTCACGTATGGGAGAGAAACTTCAGTACAGCCGTTGTATGTTATTGGGTATTCATTTTTTCCAATTTTGGAAAAATTCTTTCCATTCTACTCTTCTTCTTTATTTTTATTTCCATGTAAGTCCCTAAAATCTTTCTTTTCTTGGACAGATGTACCATACATCAGATGTATGGAAGATTTTTCCCACAGATGGTGGTCGTGGGTGCACTTGTGGGGTCCAAGAGATCTTGCGATGCAATCCCATGACCCAAGCAAGGGTTCAGTGTCCAGGCATGTATCGGCTTGGATGCCAACGTCTGCCAAGTCCTTCGAAAACTCATCTTAGCAGCCCTTCCTCCGAGAATTGACCTCGAAACAATATTATTAATTTTTTCGAATAAAAGCAATTCTTAATTCCAAAAAAGCTTAACTAAATCTCATTAAAATTGCAAGAAATAATTGGCAAAGGATAGCGCAATATATCCAGTTGATATGCGTCTAGCATATGATGCTTTCTAACTTAAAAGAAGCAAGGAATTAATCATAAATGTGTGAAAATAAGTCATAAATGCAAGAAATATTGATTATTCCTTCTCAATCATTCTCTCACTCAATTTATGTGTTTTAATAGCAGGAAACACCAAAAAAAGAAGTGAATGAGAGAAGTGCATTTTTCCAGCTGGCGCATTTTGCCCGAGGTTGGCGCCATTTGCGCGGGACTTGGCGCAAATTGCGCCATTTGATAGCTTCAGATATGTTTTCCCGTGCAAATTGCGCGGGAGCTGGTGCAAAGTGCGCGAGCGATAATTTTTAATTTTAATTTGATGCGAATTACTCAAAAAGGAGGCCCAATTGGAGAGCAATTGAAAGTAGGTTTTCCTAAAACCTAATAAAAGAACCTTTGAATTATTTACACTTTATTGAATTGTTTTCATTATTTGACAAACCACAATTACCTTTAAACCATTTTTATCAATCCAACAAGAGAGGAATAGTTATAATAAATTCGGTGCCTCAATCCTCGTGGAGACGATACTCTACTCATCATTTTATTACTTGGTACGATCGGTAAACTTGCCGATTGCGCAACACCAGTCAACGGTCTAATTGTGTAAATTAGGGGGGTGAACAGTTGGAGGTATAATGTATGTTCCACTTTGAACAATTGATAGAGATAATTATTACTAATTCCATAAATGTTCAATATTGAACAATGGTGTCTATTAATGGAGATAATGGTACTATATACGGAATAATAGATAGAGATAATTGGCAAATGATAGCGCAATATATCCTACCAACAGTTTAATTGTGTATATTAGGGGGGTGAACACTTAGAGGAATAATGTATGTTTTGTGCTTTGAAGTTAGTAAATGCTCAATATGCAAGATACCTCTTCTCTTATCATTGTTCAGCCTTTTATCGGATTAGGGTGGCAGTTGAGAGTAGGGATAGGCAAAATGAGTCAATCTGTCGGGTTGGGTTGGCAAAAATGAGCTAATAACCCGAACCAACTCGGAAAAAACGAGCAACCCGCGAGTCAAACGGGCCCGCTGGGGAGTTATTTATTATTATTATTATTATTATTCAAAAATATAAAAAGACTTGTTACCAAAAATACAACACCTTGCGGGTTAAACTGGTTATCGTTTTGGACTTTGATTTCGGAGCCGACGCCTTAAACCCTTCCTTCTCCACAGGTGGTGCCAATGCTCCTGGTAGGTCGAGGCCTAAGATGGTCAAGCTAAGGAAGTAGTCAGCGTAACAGCACGCGAGGTCCAAGACCATAACCGCCACCGGTGACGGTGGATCCAGCTTCAATTTTTTTCGTTCCAATCAGGTAAGTGACAATATTAGCGCGTCAAGTGGGTCTGTAGGAGATTCTAGTAGAGTGGAAAGTTGTGTCGGAGCTTGTGATGGTGGTGGTTCTTGGAACTGTCATCGTAGGTTCGGGAATAAGGATTTTGTGTTTGGCGCTAGAAAGGGTGATTCTGATTCTGCTCGGGTTGGGTTGAATTTTCTGCCTTTTTTTTTAGCCAAACCTAACATGTCTCATTTTTTTCAGGTTGGGCTGGGTCGAGTCAGGTTGGCTCGTTTTGCCAACCCTAGCTGAGAGGGTGTAAGGCAATTCAGAGTGAAAGTCTCTCAAATAGTGGTCATGGGTGTTGTTGTGGGATCCAAGAGATCGTGGGGTGCAATCACATGACCCGGGTTGGGGGTGCAGTGCCCAAGCGTGGTACTTGATTGTCAAGTCCTCCGAGAACTCATATTAGCAATCCTTCCTCTGGTTTTTTACCACCGTGCCCTTTATGACCTAAAAATTACCTTTTTGCCCCCATATCTAAATATTTCATCTATCTTCCTCTGTATACCCGAGTATGGACCCAGATACTTGAGTATCTGGGTCTATACCCGGGTATATGTTCAAAAAAAAATTTGCAGAAATTTTCAAACGCGTAGTACTCGAAAAGTTATGTGGAATAAAAAAAATACCTGATTTAGACACCCGAGTCAAAAGTTATGGCCTTCCAAAGTTTTATTGCAAAATTTCCAAAATTTTGTAATGCCAATAGGTTTTGTGATTCCCACCAAACTCCTCCTCAGGTTACTTAAATCAAATCCAATATATGACTATAGAAACTTGTTTGATTCACAAAATCTCGTGGAAAAAATTTAACATCATATCTTTTGGATCAAACAAGTTTCTATAATTATATACTCATAATATTGGATTTGACTCGGGTAACCTAAGAATGAGTTTTTTGGGTATCACAAAATCTATTGGCATTACAAAATTTTAGATATTTTAAAGTAAAACTTCGTAAAGTCATAACTTTTGACTCGGGTGTTCAAATTATGTACTTTTTTTTTATTATACATAACTTTTCTAGAGCTACACATTAAAAAATTTCATTAAATATTATTTTGAACATATACCCGAGTATGGATCCAAATACTCCAGTATAATATGTCAAACAAAACATACTCGAGTATTTGAGTCTATACTCGGATATATAGAGGTAGATAGATAAAATATTTTTATCCCTTCCCCCGGTTAACACCTTTTTTTTCATCCAACTAAATTCATATAGTAATTATTACTTTTTGCCCAATAAAATGTGTATGCGACAATATTAATGGTTTAGTGTATGATATATGGATTGATTGGGATAATATTCAATCCCTTCGTTACAATTGATGGACTTTCTCTTCATTACTTCGTCTTTTAAATTAATTAATAAGTAAGGTGGAAATGTAGAATAATAAGATGCGTGTTTGACCTTTATAATCATAAGAGAAGAACATAGGTAAGTATTATGGGATTTATGTCTATACTCCATCCGGAGGGATAAACATAAACAGTCAGAAATAAATTTATCATGAAAGCTTTACTGTGACATGGAGGCAAGAATATGTGATGATAAAATAAAGATTCAAAATTGCTGTATTTGTTTATGTTGATACGGAGAAGTTAAAAAAAAAAAAAGTTAACTGCATGTTTGAAGCAATATTTTCATAACTCGACATTCTTTGCAAATCAGAAACGTGATTAAAAAACAAAAAATCATCATATTTTAGTTATTTGTTATCGAAAATAAGTTCATTTTAAAAGTATGTTTAACTAAAACAAAACAATAATTATGCTAAGTTGAGAATTTTATATTAAAATTTAAAATTTATAAACATAAATCAATTTACTTTAAAATACATTTAGTGAAATTTTAAAATTAAGATAATCTAAAGTCGTATTTACAAATCTGAATGCTCACTAACTCAAACAAATTAAATTGATTTGACTTAATTTAAGAAATAGGTTTAGAAATAACGGGGAGGTTATGTTACTACTTTTTTTTTTATTTTTTATTATAAAATTTAAAGGTTAGATTTCAGTAATTTAAATATTATAATTTATTGAGAATTAATAATTAATTAATAAGTGAAATTAAATAAATTATAACTGATAAATTAATAAAAATAAATAATAAAAATTTAATAATAATAAAAAATTATATATGACCTTGTTAATTGGGTCATTATGACTAATGTGGGTCGTGTTCTGCTGTGTCTTGTGATGACGATGCTCTTGA